TTGTATCGCTAAAGTTTCTTCGGAAAGAATTTTTAACAAAAAATTAACTAACGACCAGAGACGTAAGAATATGTTAGGCTAACGAGCCTAACGTTAGAATGCTTTGAACAGGCTAGCGTATCGGTTTTTTTTTTCGATTTAACTTTATAATCATTAACATTATTATAAGAACAACTTATAATAAGTTGCAGGTATCTTAATCGATGGCCATAGTGCCTCAAGTTCATCCATTTTCTTTTGTTTTACAATGTTATCACGTACAAATGGTATCCCCATCTTGTAAATGCTAAATTCCCAATCAGAATATCACTTTATTACCTGATTATATGAATATTTTGCATCATGGCTTTATACTGGCTGTGGTCGCCACGTGACTTAGTGATTTGCTTATTCAAAATTGTTTAGTTATATATAACATAACCAAACCTCTGTATAACCAATGCTAAAGTAAATAAATCTCGATATGACGTATTGTTGTATACAATGAATTTCTCTCAGCAGTGAAACAATCATCCAGTGATGTGAAAATAGAAAATAAACTGACTTTCTAATATATGACAAGAATACTGAACATTTAAACAAATTCATAGAGAGCTTTGAAAAATGTTCAACAAACTGAAAACTGGACAATATAACATGTTTAGTTTGCACAATGTGACTGGACGTTATAAAATAACGTTACTTATATTGTAAAGATAATGGAACAAATTTTAGTAAGTAAGAGTCTGAACACTGAAATAAGTTAACTGATACCATAAAGAGACCCGAATCACATTTAATGAACAGAAGGAGAATGAACATTTTAAGAAGTTTATCAACACCATAAGGAGACTAGAGCAAGTTTAATGAGTACAAAAAGTAGACGTTATAACAAAGTTATTATACCATAAAGTTTTGTTTTTGTTTTTTTGGATTTCGCACAAAGCTACACGAGGGCTATCTGCGCTAGCCGTCCCTAATTTAGCAGTGTAAGACTAGAGGGAAGGCAGCTAGTCATCACCACCTACCGCCAACTCTTGGGCTACTCTTTTACCAACGAATAGTGGGATTGACTGCTCACATTATAACGCTCCCACGGCTGAAAGGGCGAGCATGTTTGGTGTGACAGGGATTCGAACTCGCGACCCACGGATTGCGAGTCGAGCGCCCTAACCACTTGGCCATGCCGGGCCCATACCATAAAGAGACTGGAGTAAGTTGAGGTTTAAAGAACTTACTGATGCAAAGAAGACTAGAATAAGTTCAATGAACAGAAAAGTCTAGGATTATAATAAGTTTACTGTATCATAAG